AAAGGATTGGAAGTGACGGCCACAGAGAACCTCGCGAAATTTCTTATCAACACCAGAAGCGAACGTCATGGTAGCTCACGTGCAGATGTTTGAATGACGCGCAACCCAAAAAGGCAAATCCAGTCCACCAATCACGAAGCAACGGCTGCAGAATTTACCGACCAATCATATTGTAGCACCTGCAACCACAAAAACCAACAAAATACCGGTGAAAGAATACACATAGTTCATTGCCTGTCTGTACCCTTCCGCTTGACATTGTTTGTAAGTCGTGGAAATATTATTGACTACCTTAAGTTATATTTATGACACTTTTATGGAATACGAAAATATTTTATTACTGGTTACATATGCAACATAGGTAATGTACATTACCTATGTACGTAATACGTATTACCTATGTAGTCCAAAATCATGGGAAATATAACAATATAGTAATAATTAAACAGAATATGGAAATAACAGTTATATTATGACGTTTTATCTTTATCATTTTACAAAAATTACGCCTTGCTTTCTAGCCTTATTCCCAGCATTTCCGTACATATGGCAGTAAATATTTTCCTTTCATTTATAAACAGTACTGTTTCTAGTAGTACTACGTAGTACTACTAGAAATATGGAAAGACTTTCCATGTTTCGCTCGTTTGTGAAACGCTTTGTTGCTCTCCTATACAGGACGCAAAACATTATTTGCATACTAGATTGTGAGACAGTGTCCTATAAAACACATATAATGAACCAAAAATCGCGGATGCAAGGGAAAGGACCTGGGCGGCGAAATGTGTGCACATGTTCCGTCGCCCAGGCCCTTCTGTCAAGAACGGGAAAAATTTTGGCGAAAGATGATGTTGGCTTCACTGTTACCTATCTGCTTGCCGGCATCAGTGCCCTGCTAGCACAATCCCCGTTCTCTCCCCGCCATTCGCCTACTCTAATAAACCGGTGCTCTGATCATCATTGACAATAAATTACTGCAAGTAGAACATTTACTAGAGATCTGATGTCGGATTTCGATATAATCTGTCATCGATCCGCTAAATAAGCATTAACGGATGTCCCAGTATAATTAAACATCGAAACATGACAACTAGTGTGAACTGCCATCCACCGAGTTGGGATGCAAAGACTCATATTGAAGTTATATGTACTCGAAGTTGCAAGAAGGGCGCAAATAAACTGAAGTTGTTTCATTCGGTTTCCTCAATCTTTTCGGTCCACACCGAAACATGCACCCACAATCGGAAATAGCTTGCATCTCGGCCGACAAAAAAGGCCTTAATTATAAAAAACTTTAATCCATCCAAAATATCCATATTTTCTAACTGTCAGTATGCGTTTGTTGTGTGCATTATTCTGTGTTCGATAAGGTGAAATGGCATACTATGCAAAATAACCCACGTTTCTCGTTTCTACTAGATCATCACAAAGCCTCAGATGTAAAGTCGGTAGCTAGGCGTGAAACCTCTCCAGCGGTCGTCGGAACTGCTTTTAGCCAACTCGCTCAAACATATAATATGTAAGACTCGTAAATACACACTCGTATACCATATGTTGACAGAGTGGATAATTAGCCATATAATGCAAGTCTTACCAACGTTGCTAATGTTACCTTTTGCGTATGTTTGTTCCCGTGGATGGAATTTTTAGGGCTACAGGCGTCTACGGAGGTGACCTTCTGGCGCTTTCTGTTCTGAAATGCTTGCTCTTTCATTACTTATAACTCTTTTCAAAATATTTCGAAACGGAACGGAGTGAAAATGTTATTGGCACCTGAGGCAACACGACACACACGACCATCATCCGACCTCGGTAGAACCCCCTGGAATTGGAGTCAAAACAGCTTGATGCTCTAGCCGC